GTGTCTAGGTCTGAGAGACAGTGAATCTGTGGTCTGAACAATGGTGTCTAGGTCTGAGAGACAGTGAATCTGTGGTCTGAACAATGGTGTCTAGGTCTGAGAGACAGTGAATCTGTGGTCTGAACAATGGTGTCTACGTCTGAGAGACAGTGAATCTGTGGTCTGAACAATGGTGTCTACGTCTGAGAGACAGTGAATCTGTGGTCTGAACAATGTTGTCTGGGACTGAAAGATCAAGAATCTGTGTTCTGAACATTAACCCTAGGCCTCAGAGACCACAAATCTGTGATCTGAACAATGTTGCCTGGGACTGAAAGATCAAGAATCTGTGATCTGAACAATGGTGTCTACGTCTGAGAGACAGTGAATCTGTGGTCTGAACAATGTTGCCTGGGACTGAAAGATCAAGAATCTGTGTTCTGAACATTAACCCTAGGCCTCAGAGACTACAAATCTGTGATCTGAACATTAACCCTAGGCCTCAGAGACCACAAATCTGTGATCTGAACAATGGTGTCTACGTCTGAGAGACAGTGAATCTGTGGTCTGAACAATGTTGCCTGGGACTGAAAGATCAAGAATCTGTGTTCTGAACATTAACCCTAGGCCTCAGAGACTACAAATCTGTGATCTGAACATTAACCCTAGGCCTCAGAGACAACAAATCTGTGATCTGAACATTAACCCTAGGCCTCAGAGACAACAAATCTGTGATCTGAACAATGTTGCTTGGGACGGAGAGACAGCCAATCTGGAATCTGAACATTTGTACCTGCTAACCTGACAGAATCTTTAAACAGTACTGGCAGAAGCATTAGCTCGCATGCCAGTTGTTTTGTCATTTCAGTGAAAAACACCAGCTCATGAATTGGATTTGTAAGTGCAATAACCTCTACGCAGACAGCGATAACAACTCCAGGGTCAATTGTTCATAAATGATCAACACCAGCTAATGAATTGGATTTGTCAGTGCAGTAACCTCTATGCAGGCAATGACAACAGCTCCAAGGTCAATTGCTCCTAAGTTAACTAAGGAGGTAAACATTTCTTTGGTATGATTTCCAGTAATCTAGAACAAAAACATTGTGAGATGGTAATGGTGTATAACGTTTGGCTGGACAAAGTGATAACAGGTCACTCTGATTTGTGGAGATTATGTATGCTTCAGTACAGAGTTCAATGACATGAACAGAAATGATATCGTACTTGTACATCACAGTTATGTGCATAAGTGGGGTGATAGATATTATCATGTATTGAATTGTGATAGGTACATTGAACAGTAAATATAGGGATGGAATAGCTCCCATTGGCAAATAGATATTTCTCCCACTTAAAATGTCCTACCAGTGGTTTGCTAGATCACAGCAGTAAATGTTCTACCAGTGGTTTGCTAGATCACAGCAGTAAATGTTCTACCAGTGGTTTGCTAGATCACAGCAGTAAATGTTCTACCATTGGTTTGCTAGATCACAGCAGTAAATGTTCTACCATTGGTTTGCTAGATCACAGCAGTAAATGTTCTACCATTGGTTTGCTAGATCACAGCAGAAAATGTTCTACCAGTGGTTTGACAGGTCACAGCAGTAAATGTTCTACCAGTGGTTTGACAGGTCACAGCAGTAAATGTTCTACCAGTGGTTTGCTAGGTCACAGCAGAAAATGTTCTACCATTGGTTTGCTAGGTCACAGCAGTAAATGTTCTACCAGTGGTTTGACAGGTCACAGCAGTAAATGTTCTACCATTGGTTTGCTAGGTCACAGCAGTAAATGTTCTACCAGTGGTTTTACAGGTCACAGCAGTAAATGTTCTACCAGTGGTTTTACAGGTCACAGCAGTAAATGTTCTACCATTGGTTTGCTAGGTCACAGCAGTAAATGTTCTACCAGTGGTTTTACAGGTCACAGCAGAAAATGTTCTACCAGTGGTTTTACAGGTCACAGCAGTAAATGTTCTACCATTGGTTTGCTAGGTCACAGCAGTAAATGTTCTACCAGTGGTTTTACAGGTCACAGCAGAAAATGTTCTACCAGTGGTTTGCTAGGTCACAGCAGTAAATGTTCTACCATTGGTTTGCTAGATCGAAACCGTAAATGTTCTACTGGTCGTTTGTCAGGCCACCACCTCACAGTTCCAGTTTATCATTTACCTGTAGGAGGCCATGTTACAAGCGTGAGTGATATACTCCTGTAAGTAGAGAGTTAAATTGTAATTGGTCGTTGTGATGATTTTGATGGGGGATTTTGTGTACTTTCAGTCCATTGATTTCATGAACTATTACAATTAGTTTAGATTTGTTGAGCCATATTTATCCACAAAATCACTGTCAATAAAATTGATAGATCATGTAAATTCAACCCCACAAAAATATATGATAATACAGTATGTTCTTATTGTGATTCTAGTAAACTTACAAGGAATGGGTTCAACAGAATAGATTATAAATACAAATTTAAGTGAGAGTTGTTTACATGGTTTGTTAGCTGTTATCAGAACAACAGTCAATGTATGGTACTGTCATAGATTCATTGCACAAGGTTTACAATTTTGGTTGGAGGCAGATAGTAAAGTGATTTTAACCGTATGTGACATACAGAGTAGGTGCCCTGATGTCATGAAAACGCATTCTCCAGGATTTGGATTTGCTTTCTTGTTCTAGGGATTGGTCTGTTCTTTCTCTGTGTCTGTTAAAAATGTGCCTGTCTCTTAGCAAAGATCATGCTCAGGCTATGGAGCTGAAAAAACTATCACAAAATATATGGTAACCGTTCTGTAATATGTTGCAAGCTCTTGTATGATAAAAACCACATTTCTTCCTTGTTGCTTTCCTCTTGGGTTTGGATCATATGGCTTACTGCAGTATACAGTCAAGTTCATTACATTATATATCTGCTGCAGGCCTCCACCTAGATCCAGAATTTAATGACAAATTTGTCAGTTTTACAAGGTATGTTATATCTCGTGATGATTTCCCCTCTGCTAGCAATATGAGATTCATCAATACTGAATGGTTAACTGGTGTAAGAAGTGATGCAAACCTGTTGTTGAGGAATGTCAGGAGAGGTTTTACTCTTGTATTGGGGATGTAGTCAGGATTCTGTATTTGAAAATGAGAGTAATAAAGAAACAATTTTCATTTAAACACACATTACCAGAAGACTGACGTTTGTCGGTGAGGCAATGAGATAGGACGAGACAAGGAGATAGAAAACCTAGAACCAACCAAGCAGTCAATCATTTAAACAATATTAACAATATCATGATAGTGGTGGTGTTTTTCCTTACCAGGGTATTTTCAATCTATCAGTAAAATGTGCAATGTGACAAGAAATGTACATATATTTCTACTGCAAACGCTACTAGAAGAGATTTCCTATATAAAAAGGCAATAAAAGCGTAGAATCAGTTTAATTTGTCTCTCCTTTTTCAGCATCGTTCAGTACAAACACTGACAGAAATTTCATCACTGCTTTTATTAAAGAATTAGTATACCTGGGTATGTAAAGAATGCAAGGATTTGCATGTGTACCACTCAACTGGCTGTGTACGATTGACTTATCATAGATGGGATGGTCAAATTGCACATTGGTATTGCACCCTCCTTTCACCTAATTATCTGGGGTTGTCTGGGGCAAACAAGAGTGATTGATATCAGCTGGAAAAACTTTTTTCACATTTGTTGTAAAATAAATAAAATTGTTTTTTTAATCATAGATCCAGGCAGTAGAGTCAAAGCCATTTTTTTGGTAGTGGTTCATTGGGTTTTTTGATATCTGTTGCTTGGGTACCACTTGGTGTACTGGGTGATAGAACAATAGGGATGAACTAAACAAGATAGATAATCAAAACAAACTTCGGATAAGTAGGTTTTCTGTTATTATTGCAGTTGATTGGTAATGCCCAGAACTTTGGGCTTCTTCACTACGACAGTTTCAAAATTTTACTTCTGAGTACTAAAATTATGGGCACCTTGATGTACACATTTACAAAGTCACATGTTCATTCTGTTACATTTTCTCCTTTCCCATCAAGGTTATTTGGAGAACCGTAACACAGTTAATTATATAGATATAATACAGACACCCTTTTCCTTGATAATTAAATATCTATAATGTAAAAAGACAATAGGTAGTTCAGTTAAGTTCTCTCTTCCAAACTCTTCTAAGTGGTATTTATAAACCAAAATCTGTGCTACAATATTCATCAAGACAAACATGCTGTAGTAGCAGACTCAGACTGGGATCTCCCTTTTTTAGCCATCATTAGTTGGTGGGTTAATCAAATCACTCTGCATCCGTGATCTGTCCGTCTTAAACAATTTTTGTTATTGCTGTTTCTTGAGAAGTACTGGATGAATCTTTCTTAAATTGCATATGTAGGTTCCCCTTGGTCACTTATTGTGCCTATTTGATTTTGGGACTGATAAAAATCCCAAAATGGCTGACAGGCAGCCATTTTGTTTTTTTCAGTGAAGCTTGTTATCGCTTTTTCTTGAAAGGTAAGCAGTGGATCTCTCACGAATTTCATATATAGGTTCCCCTTGGTCCCCCTTGGTCCCCCTGATGTACTCTTTAGAAGGAAAACTTTTTATTCTTAACTATTATGCCAGTACAATTGACAATTTTCAAGGGAAGTTAAGTGCCTTATAATAGATTCCTAATCAACTTCTCAAAGTTTGCCATGAGTAAAAATGAGTTTAAGCAGTTAACTATTAAAATAGAAAAAAATGTAATCAGTGTTCATTATTTTTCAACCATCATGATTCTGGCAGTGGTTTGATTATAATCCGTTCTTTCATCAAACAAATGGTGTGAGTAGATTCTGGTGCCAGGTTTCTGTAATTGATTTTTTCTGGTGTAGAGTTGTTGGTTGAATCTGATAAGTTGCTGAGGTGTAGATTCTCTTTGAGTTGATCCATTGCCCCCTCCAGCACAGGTCTTAATCTTCTGGCTGGTCCTGTGGCGGTAAGTACGGAGGCTGGATGTACATTAAACTTTGTTCATTCTAGTTGTTTGGTCAAGCATTTTATAGGTTCACACCATTTTCCAGGTGTTTCTGCCTCTGGTTGTGTCTTCAGTAACTTCAGTAACATGTGGATCAGTAACATGTGGATAAGTAACATATGAATCAGTAACATGTGGATCAGTGCCACGTCAATCAGTAACATGTGGATCAGTAACATGTGGAACTGTTCCATGTGGATCAACAACCTGTTAATCAGTAACATTGGGATCAGTAACATGGGGATCAGTAACATATGGATCAGTGCCACGTCAATCAGTAACATGTGGATCAGTAACATGGGGATCAGTAACATGTGAATCAGTAACATGTGGATCAGTAACATGTGGATCAGTAACATGTGGAACTGTTCCATGTGGATCAACAACCTGTTAATCAGTAACATGGGGATCAGTAACATGGGGATCAGTAACATGTGAATCAGTAACATGTGGATCAGTAACATGGGGATCAGTAACATGTGAATCAGTAACATGTGGATCAGTGCCACGTCAATCAGTAACATGTGGATAAGTAGCATGTGGATCAGTAACATGTGAATCAGTAACATGTGGATCAGTTACATGTGGATAAGTAGCATGTGGATCAGTAACATGTGGAACTGTTCCATGTGGATCAACAACCTGTTAATCAGTAACATTGGGATCAGTAACATGCGGATAAGTAGCATGTGGATCAGTAACATGTGGAACTGTACCAAGTGGATCAGTAACATGTGGATCAGCAACATGTGGATCAGTGCTATGTCAATCAATGACATGTGGATCAGTAACATGTGGATCAGTACACAGTTACTGTGATGTCATTGACATTGTGACTGGGTGTGTTGAAATGTGGTGAATATTGTACAAGTGGTTTCTGAACCTAGTAGTAATACTGGATGTTGCATTACTTGCAAGTCATGAGATATATTGCTTTGATGCTCTGACAGTCAGCTCCTTTTGTTGATGATTTGGAAATGAAAAGATCTGATCATATGTTTACAAATTTACCAGGCCCTCCCTCAAGGTTCATTGCCTGTGGGTTTCCAACTGTTGGGTTCATAGAGTTTTATGGGATTGATGAATGGTATGATCTTTTGGTTATCATCTCTCCCCTTAGGGATGAGTAGTTCTGCCCTGAACTTGTTTTGTGCCTTTTCAACAACATCACACAATAACATTTATTGGGTGTCCTCTCCCTATTAGGTTCATGCATTTGTGTTTAAAATATATAGGGTCACTGCATGTTTTCTTGATGTGTCATGCTTACATGTATGGAACAGTAAACTTTTAAATATCCATTAGGTTGTGGAGCCAACACAGTACTTCTCATTAAGGGAGTACATGTCCCTTTATCTCTTGTTTGAATACATCTAGGTATGCAGGGGCATTGAAGAATAAAGGATGGAGAGAGAAGTAATGGTAATAGTCAATAAATAGTCAACAGGTTCAGGATAGGTAGGTATCTTTATTCATTTACATCTACTGGTTTTGCCCAAACTTGGGCTTCTTCAGGACAATTTGTGATTGTGATTTTTACCCCAAAAGTACCACTTGAAATTGAGGTTGTTTTTTTATTGGAATTTGTGGCATAACACAATTAATGTCACATGATCTTATCTAGCACTGATAACTCTTAATGTTTGATGATATCTAAAGATAGGTTGATATTCATATAAGTTTACTAGTTTACAAGTGGGATTGCATTGTCCATTTTCACCTTATTTTATTTTATTTAAAATCAGGACATGACCTAGAGAGCCCTGAGATAACTACCTTAAACATTAAATTTGTTCATCTAAGCATACTGTAGAACCCATTACTGATTTATACACTGGTGCCTTGTAGTCTACAAAGTCTACTTCTATTTCATTTTCTATCTTTATAATATCTATATATGGTTACATTTATATAAATGTAAGATCACATGTGTTTTCATTGGTGATACATTATACAATAGCAGCATGGCATACTTAATCATGACATCTACTTCACTTAACTTTTTCATCCTGATGTGTTGCAAGTTGAAAACCCGGAGGTTTCTATATTTTGAAAAATCAAGTGAGTTTTGATATTAGTGAAATATTTAACTTTTACCTGTATTTCATGTAAGCAGTCAGTATACTGATATGTAAAAAGATCATTCTTTTTAACAAATTTTGAAATTTTTATTTCTTATTAAAGTTTGTACACTGGGGTTAATTTTACCAGAACTCCAATCTTAAATCTGGCACTTTTGCAATTGTATAGATTTGTTACATCAAATAAACTATTGTTTTTGCATATTTTGTGTTGTTTTGTAATTGTTAATTATGAATTTTCTTCAAACAAAGTGATTTTAACCAACATTGTGTACATTTATCTTACTAGTAAGTTTATGATGTTTGCCTGTCTAAAGTTACATCAATGGAAAATTGATGTTCAAATTTTATCTTAAGCATCCTGGTGTAAAGGGGACTTGATTTTGTATCATCATTATGTCTGAAACCCAGGCATTTGACAAAGGAGTGGGGCCCAATAGGTGAGATAGAGAAATAAGTTGAAACTCTATTACCAGTTGGAATGAAAGTATTTTGACTATTTGTTTTCAGAAACTTACTTGGGAAAGAGAAACCAATTTTATGTAAATTGTGGGCAAATAAGCTTGAGGCCTAATTGGTCAAAATTCTGTGATTTTTACAAAAGAAAGGGTTTTGATGTTTACCAAGATGTCTTAGGACAAATTTCATCATACAATGCTCAAAATCAAGGGGTGTCTTTTTATTGCAGTACGTTTGGCATGGGAAGATCAGCTTTATACAGGTAACTATTGAAAGGGTATTCATATTTTATATAAATGCTGAAACAAGTTGTAAGGTTGTAGCAATTTCTTGATGACATGAAAAATATTGAATTATGGCACAAACAGATATTTTAATAATAGTTATCTCCCCTGGAGCACAACACTAATATGTAACAAGATAAGGTATAACCATCTAATGGAAATAAACTGCATCAAGCAATCGTTTCCTCACTCTAGGATTCGTCTGTGATATTTAGGGCCCAAGTTGCTGAAAATCCAGTTGTGGTTAAAGTGATCACTCCTTGATGTTATTAAGTGTTACAATCAAGGAATAATTTCATCACATAGTGATACATGTATTAGGATGTTATGAAAAACAGATTCTTATGAAATGGAAAAATTCTGTTTACAATTATTGGTATGTTATGTAAGAAGAAATTGTGTTTTTTAAAGCACCGTTGACCTACAATATTACATTGTTTTATGAATAGATATCTTATTTTCAGTAATGATATTGTACATGGTAAATCATATATTTCTATAGACTTATCAAAAATTTTGACGGTACATATTATGGTATGGTGTTGTCATCTGTCTGTACTTTCACTGATAAGTATTATTTGTCTGCACATCTCCTCTCACAATTTTCAACTACTTAGTTAAAGTTTATTTTCAAACTATATTTTCTACTTTGAATACCATCATATACGAACAAAAAAGCTTGTTTTTTATCGATTTTTTCTCCCTCGGCTTACATGTTTATATCTGATTCAAAATCTCCGCTGTAATCGTTTCAATCTAAATGACCTAACGCACATCAAACGTCTTTATTACGTTGAATGATACGTCTCTAGTACAATGAGATTGGGTATATGAGTGCTTCTCCTGCAGTAGAAACCAAACGCACACCGAGTTTAGCTGGTGTGTGTAGTAGTTTTACAGAACACATGGGAATGTTAACCTTACTTTTAGATAGAAAAGGTACTACATGACGTTCATCGTGGCCATGAATGTGATCTATTGTGTTGTTTTTTTCCTCCGTTCTCAGTATCACATTAGTGATTCTGTCTAGTACAGTGTTTCTTTTCTGTCCTTATATTTTCTGTGTGATAGTTTGTCACTCTCATATCAACTTTCCCCCAAGATATAGTGTACTTCCTGGTAACTTGCTAAGTCGAAAGTTATTCTAATGGTAGTCTCTTGGGCAATGCCTTCCAAGTCGAAGGTACTCATAAGAGACAGAAAAAGAAAGATCGATTTTCGTAATCGAACGACTTATTCGTTTCTTAAAATTACGACGTCCCTTTGCAAGCCAACCAAAAGCTTTTACGACAAAAAACGAAAGCATTTTCTGTTACAGGCGGATTGTATATTGGTGATGTTATATAATAGAGATGTTCTATCTGAAGACATCTAGCTTTTGTCACTCCCTTGCTGATGACTATATATAAACAGTTATTACAAAAACACGTTTACTGTGTTGTAGATCAAACCTCCTTGTAACATTTTTATGAATGTTGTACTCTGTTAAGCGAGGTATGGTATTATCACAGCATTTTTATGAATGTTGTACTCTGATAAACGGGGTATAAACGGGGTATGGTATTATCACAGCATTTTTATGAATGTTGTACTCTGATAAACGGGGTGTGGTATTATCACAGCATTTTTATGAATGTTGTACTCTGATAAACGGGGTATGGTATTATCACAGCATTTTTATGAATGTTGTACTCTGTTAAACGGGGTGTGGTATTATCACAGCATTTTTATGAATGTTGTATGTTAAACGGGGTATGGTATTATCACAGCATTTATATGAATGTTGTACTCTGTTAAGCGGGGTATGGTATTATCACAGCATTTTTATGAATGTTGTATGTTAAACGGGGTATGGTATTATCACAGCATTTATATGAATGTTGTATTTTAAACGGGGTATGGTATTATCACAGCATTTATATGAATGTTGTACTCTGATAAACGGGGTGTGGTATTATCACAGCATTTTTATCGAGATTCTTTATATTGTCTTATTTTTGTCAAAATGAATTTTATTTAATTTTCAAAATATCTATTTCGCTTTTGTGTGTTCATACCATGAAGCATTTAAGAAATCATCCATTATTTCCGATACAGATATAAATACTCGTCTCAGAAAGTACGACTGCACTCCTCCGGAAAAAAACGGAAACTATATATAAATGAAATCCATGCAACTGGATATTGTGAAATGTCACTGAGAAAAGTGACACAGAATCTTTGATAGAAGTACATTTGACCTCAATAAAATGAGACGATAAAAATAGATATATAAATTCGGAATATAATCACAGTTTGAGAGATTTATCTGACATGTCACCGTACTAATCCTGACAGATTTCACAAAAAGCTTTTACGATTGTCTTTACTTGATTGTGGTTTATTTTACGTGTACGGCTTAACGCATTTATTTTACGACAGAAGTATTTTGAGGTGATTCGCGGCTTCGTCTGTGTTTCCGTTTTATTAATAAGAATGCAAAGTTAAGGAAATACTTTCGAACGCCATATGGAATCACCGCTTTTTAACAAGCTTTTAGCGAAAGTAGCTTGTATCAAATTTCACTTCAAACTGTTAACATTAAACATCTATATCATCAGCAGACAAATACCCATCATCTTAACTTTACTGCGATATTAGTAAATATTCCATATTGAAAATCCCCTGGGAAAGTTAGTTATTACTTCATTAAATCTCAATCATGACAGTTTATTT